ACCCCTTGGCAAAATCTCGGAAAAATAAAAAAATTTTTTTTTTTTTTCAAAATTTCGAGAAATACTTCAAATAAAAGTTGTAGGTACTGACGTCTCCTACAAGATATGTAATACAGGCGAAATCGAAGATTAATGGAAACTCGTTTTGGCCTGCTTGACAATCATGAAACCGGTCCAGAGAAATGGAGCGATCGATTTTCAACTTCGCGGCGATTCAACGGCATCGGGTTTCGTTCCCCAAAAATGTCAGGCCGTTTTTAAATTTCCTTCAGTATCTTCTAATGGAGTAAACTATGTTCCTTTATAATTATATCTCCTATTAAATAATATTTAATCGATTTTTCCGAACATTTGGCAAATTGATAAAAAAATGGGAAAAGATTAATATTTCGCACTGACTGCGTTGATGAGACTTATGTTATGTATTTTTGGGAACAAGGGTTAGCACGTGAATGTTAAGTACGTCAGAATAATTCGCGTGTTCGATGAAACAATATCACCGTTAATCCAACAGTTCTCGGGTTTGACCGGTTTACCATGGTGACCATGTGTCCCGATTCAAGACGCTTTGGTCCCACTTTTATGAGCTTGTCGTCGCCTTTATACGTCGCCGAACATTCCATCCGTGGCATATTTGCAATTCGACCGATTAAGAGTTCGAATTCGAACTTCGAAGTTTGTCAAAGTTGTGCAAACTCGAAGCTGAGAATTCTTAAATGTCTTGAAAGTCTTGATCGTTTTGTTCGTCTTCAGAAGTTAATAAATTAGCCGATCTTAATGTATCACGTGTCATTAGATAGATAAATGTAAGGTCTACAAATTTAAATTTAAACTTTTTTTTATACATGCAAAAAACATTATCTTCGCAACTTCGAACTGAATTTACAGTGTTCTAAGTGCCTAAGCTTTGTCTTACATTTACAATCTATTTATTTCTGATGATAAACTTTATAAAATTCTGTAAGAACATTGCAGATACCATTTAACATTATTTAAACTGACTAACAACGAAGTGAGTAATTAGCAGAAACGATAGTTCTCGCATCTCTTACCTCGTTCTTCGTCGGCGGTTTCCGAGGTCACGATCACGCGAACGATACATAAGATTAACAGCAAACACTGCATGGTATTCGATTTGTTCACGCATTTTGACAATCGACCGCCGGGAAAACCGCGTAACACGAAATTGTTTAAGTACCGGTCATCGTCGTCGCGTCGTTTCCGGCCACCTTTGTGTCTCCATAGACCGCCGTTGCTGTGAACCACCGGAACGCACAAATAACCTCAAGCTTAACGATCGACGACACCGATCGTCCTGCTACCAGCTAGAGTGTTTCTCGGGTAACTGACCGGTTTTCTACATTCCCCGTGCCGCTCACTGGACAAACATTACAGTCGCATACAGCCATCCGGCACACTGTTACGAAGGATGGAAACAGCGAATGTAACGAGTTAAACCCTTCTTCGTAAGTCTTCAAATCGTACACGCGCGCTTTTTATTTTAACGCATATCGATTCCTACTTGCATGTTTATTCATTCTGCATGCGATCAGATTATATTATTTGGACTAATTACCATTGAGATATATAAAACAAAAGAAACTTTTCTCAGTTTTTTGCAATATACTGCAAATTATATGTTTATAAATGGTCACTCTATACACTGAGAGAAGTACATTTTGAATTTGTCAAAGCATGTAATACAATCATTAAGCAACGAGTTGTCGTATATTTTTACTGATGACACTCTGCATATGAGAGGAGTTTGCTCGTAATGGGACGACGTATAAAAAACCGACCATTAGGGCCATCGACGCGAAATGACAATGCAAAGTGTAGAAAGTAATCGTGATTTATGGTCACGGTCGCGAAAGGGATACAAATTGAGTGAACCGGAAATAAGGAAGCCGTTTACGATTAGTGAAAAGGAAAGCGTACCGCGCGTGCCGCAATCACAGATGTTACATTCGTAAATAGTGTAGTTCTGTCGTTCTTAACGTGCATAATTTTTCCCCTTTGCAATCAATTCTTGAAGTATAACGCTTCCGTATTTTTTAGTTTCCTTTTCTTTTAACTGAGCGAAATAAGGAATGTACTTTACCTAATGCCCGTCGTTATTCTGCTTTCACTTTTAAAAATGTCTGTGATATTTAACGTGTGTTAAATATCGATACCTTCGTCCAACGATCCTTTTTCTGATTCTGATACTACATATGAATTTATTTATAGTTGCAATATCAAGTACGTCCTTTAAAGCGATTAAAAATTAAAAACAAGCAGTACATTCGACTTTACCACTTGAAGCTGTAAAACTTTTCCCTGAATCTACTGACTCTTCTATAACGCTTCGTTTTTGAAATAATTAGGCCATCCGAGAACACTCTAAAAATTACAAATTTTCAGGCATCTGATGAAATGAGAACATCGGAAAAAATTATGGTTTCTACAAATAATTTTTCGTTTGGATAATTTCTACATAGAAAGAAAAATAACAATTTTTTATTTTATATTTTCGATTTATTCATTTCTTACGCATGTACATTTTTTATAACTCATTCCTTTTCTCATAAAGTATCATTTCATAAGTTATATATGAATTAATAACATTATACATGTTCAAATATGACACTGTCTTATAATTAAGACGTAATATAATCAATAAAGGAACTGATAATAACATGAGTATGACATTAAAATTACAAAAAGAACGTGTTCACAGATCTTTTTATCACAAGTAGAGAGAGCTTCTTTGAGCTTAAATACAATTCATTTTAATGCAAAACTCATGCAACTTTATATAAATCAAACATATTATTAGTTGTGTTAATAATATTTGGAGAATCTTAACATGATTTTAGACTTATAGTATATACTATATATACTTATAGTAATTTACAATTCCGCATTATAAAAGTGGAAGTAAACAGATCGTTTTGAAGATAATATTGGAGAATGAGTAAACGTCGACTTGTAGAGTCAAATAAAACTAACGCCTGCATGGATAATAATGAAAAATCAAATGTAATATTATCATCAAATCAATAATTTTGTTTATACGTAATGATATGATTATGTTTATTTGCCTTATACTTAGTCACCTATTTCAAAATTGCATTTAAAGTGTTATAAATTGACTATATGACGTAAAGATAAAACGTTAACATGTCATTGCCAATGAAAAGCACGTACATATTTATATTAACAATATGTTTTTACAAGGTTATAAATGTTATTAGTTAATACATTATAATTTTCATAACGCGACTACTTCAAATATCTTGCATATTATTCATCGTAGAATAAAATGTTTCAAACAAAAGTTGTATGGTTTGAAAAACACATGCACTGTTGTAGTAAAATAAAAGAACATATTTTTCCACGATAAATAATTCAGGAGTTATTTCAAGTCATCACGTTACAAAAATCACCCAGTATAATAAGAATATCACTCTCATGATTGTGGGATTTGCATAAAAATTGTACACTGTTATACTCTTCTCATTGTTCAGAGTGAATTATTTACAAAGGCTAGATACATTTTATAAAACAATCGCGTACTTTTAATCAATTTCCAATATAATTAGATTATAGGTATTTTACCTATTTGTTTGTGCCTTGGGCTAACTCACCATATTGTACAATTACACATGCTTGCATTGTTGAGTTGAGGAAAAAGTTTCTTAGTAAACATCCTTAACATCAATTATATCTGATAATATCAGCTGCATCTAAGAACACTTAAGGCTGTCCCAGAGTTTATAGTCCAGTAAACAATTTGAAAGAAAGATTAGTAAAATCTGTACATCCAGTCTAACATTATTTACTTCTAAAAATGTGCACTCGTAACGAAGAAATTTGATGTATTTTGAAATCCTATTATAAAAAAGGGAAGAATGTGATGGAGGCTGCCAAGAGTCATATTTACGGATCTGATGCATTAGTAAGAGAAGCACAAAGTGGAAATTTCGATAACAAAGATGCAATTCGCTCTGGTCGATCAAAAAACCGATGCAATCTTTGAAGAAGTATAGCGTAACACATAAACAGTCACACATCGCAATGGAATTCAACAGCTTTTTCCTCAACCGAATATTTCGCTACGAATATCTCACATAACATGTATAACCCTGTACATGTGCTATGCTAAAGAGATGCAGGCAACGTTTTTGAAAAATTGCAACATCGTAATAATTGTATCAACAATTTGAGGGAACAAAAAATCTGTATTGCATATATCATTTTTGAAACTGACGTTCCTTTGCAACTATGACATTTACATTTCAACAGTTATTTCTTCATCCAATATAATCCTGATAGACAAATGATGTGAAGAACTTATAAAAGGTGTTGTTATAATGCGAATTTGGTATGAAATAAATATATTCTAGTTTCAATGTCAAAGTACAAAGGATATTGTACTAATCAAAGCACACGTAATATTAAATTTAGTTTATAATGTAAACGGAGATCTGCAGACTGGACACAATGCCTGAGGCTGTAAAGTAACATCAAGCGTTACATAAATCTATTCACTGAAGTAGTCATCTGTGTCTGCATTTAGTTTCCATTTTTAAAGCAATGCTCGGTGTCAGGATTATTGAACAATATTTTTCATTGGTGAAATCAAAATTGCTGCAATTGAAATCTCAAAAATTCTGACAATGCAGGCTCTGCTACCAAAACAGAAGCTAAATATAGATATAGATAGCTATGGTTTTGTAAACAGATGTGTATTGACATCCACTGCCAATCTGTCTGCATATTCTTTACAGAACAGATCCTTCGAATCTGTAGCCATTCTGATTCATAAAGAATCTGATGAAGAGAGAATAGAGAAAATCTAGCACTACAGGCTTAGCTAACAGGATAGATTTCACATTGTAATACTTACTCCTAAAGTTTCACGTTGCCATTGTTCAATACAGCTCCTATGAAAACGATGTATACAGGATTTCATTGCATATGTATGTTGATTTAATAAGGATAAACATATTGGACATTCTTCAGTATCCTCTATTTGTCTGTATTGTTTTGATAAAAGAAAAATAAAGGATATTATTATGTAAAATTCACATATATATGTGATATTTACTGTATATACTTACTCAGAATAAGGCGAATAATATCGATATCTATGTTCATCCTCGTGGTTACTGCCAAAGATAAAGTACAGAACTGTAGCCACGGTAACTCCAATAATCACAGCTAGTACACCCGCATGTGGCATTGTTGTTTAATGTTAACGGGACGATTAATCATATAACTAGAGCACTTTAACGAATTCGGCAAGAGTGAACTTACTTAAGAACTAAGAACTCAAACAGGAAAAACGGGGAAGTCGCAATACCACCGAAACATAAACAATGCAATGCGTAGAATGTCAGTTGCATCGATCACCTTCGACCCAACCTCAACAAACACCTGAAAACGCAAAGCAAGACACTGTAATAAGATCCAATCCGCGCGTAATAACAGGCTGACCAACAGAGAACGAGCAATCGTAAATTATTTATTTAGGAACATATAATTACAATATTTTCAATTATTCAGAAATATTTCTACGAAAGTAATTGTTAAATATTGCGCTGGTTCATAATATTGATCATGTGGTTATTACTGACACGCGATATAGGTATACAATTAAATAACGATCAATATTATGAGTATAATTGTTAATATATGTTTTAAGGATATTTATAAGTTGAATTAATATCAGCTACGAGAATATTATTTAAGATCCACAATAGAAAGTAAGCAAAAGTAGGAAATGATTTTCAATAATACGTAAATTTTTATTCATCAACAGTTATAAAATGATACATTTTCCTTTATATTGCTATTTACATTTTAATTTGCACGTTTTAAACTACAGAAATGAAAACGTACAGAGTGAATCGGTAAGAGATATTATTT